AAACGGTTTTGACCTTAGACATGAATTAAACAGTGTGTAAACCACTCTACGTTATATATCATTCGATAGAGAATTTCACGGGCTACAAAATGATATATAAGACAGACATAAGAAAATGTAACTGGATAGTCTAAGATCCGAAATACTCGGTATACATAAATAATGACGTCTTTGAGTATTATAGTATAAATCCGCGGTTAATGAAATATACTCAGTCATAGATAATTCTTGCTTTAACTTCAATTTCTCGTCGCCATACATACTATTCAACGATCTTTTCACTGTTTAAGAGCTTGGACCCATATAGTTTGGAATGGCTATGTTTAAGAGTTGCTGCATACGGTCTTTTTTAAAATCATTAAAACTACGAACATATTTAACGATACACTGAATGGCTGCTATATCTAGCTGTTAAAACACGATAGTTCTTTTTGATGATGGATACTTTAAAGACGTTTTTCCACGAGTATTGCCTGAATGTCGTCGCACATTTGTTGTTGATCCTGTTTCTTCTCTAATATGCTAAAACAATAAAGCGTTTTCGTTTAAAAGTTTTTTTGTAGTGATAAAGAAATTTTCAGCTCTATCATAGTCTAACCGATATCTGTACAAATCAAAGAGTGATGTATGACTTATTGTATGGTCACACGATTAAGCATCTATCACAAACACATAGTCCTGCTATATGTGTAATTATATACGAGATGTGCGTTGCTTACCTTCTCACATAATAAACATATAATTTCATTAGGATTAACCCTGAGCGAATTCAAGGACGGGAGTTGTTTTTCATTTTCGTTGTTTCTTCACTAGTAATATATCACTTTTACTACTTACATCACTGCCATCATCCATTTTCGACGCTGATTCATCTTGGTTACTTAAATGTGTTGCGACAGTTGTATTTACTTTTGCTATATGATTGTTTGCTCGATAATTATTTTCTTGCTAAGGCTATTTTGTTGAATTGATCTGTAGAACTCGAACGTCCTTCTATCCGCACATGACTTTTGTACACAACTATAGAACCTGGACATAATGTTGATGGTCTGTTGATCTTCATGTCGATATTCTTTACTCTTTATTTTCATTTTTATTTTCTGGTCTTTACAACCAATGTTTATCACACATGCATAAGAAAATGGCGTAACAAGAAATAAGAAAAAGAAGAGTAGTGAACGTTCTAAGACTTGAATACTAAGTAAAATAGTTAGAGAGAGCAGAATATGGAAAATGCTACACTGGTAGCAGACAAAAACTACTACATCACATCAAGAGCTAAACTTCTCCAACATGTGTTCTTGAACTTAAGCAGTATATCAAGATCTTAAGAAATAACAAACTAAATTCAATCAGCAAAGTCTACTACCTAATCTGGGAGTCTCTTTCCAGTGCTCACTCTTTCAAAATCTTATGTTTGCGAAATGAAATACATAATATTTCAACAAATCACAAAAGGACACTGAGCAGTTTCCAGTTCAAAAAGAACTGTAGTTCCTGTTCGCGGGAACTGGAACTGGTGAACTGTCCAGAACAGAAACTGAAAAACCGTTCCCATTCACTGAATGGAGAATTGAAAAACAGCTTCCGTTATCGAGAAACTGCAGTACAAGGGAGTCTGAACTGGCCTAGTCGACATATCTCAGGGAAAATCTTTTGATGCTGTTGTCTCCATAAGTTTGAGTGGAGAATGAGTCGACTCATCGTTCTAATTCTCCCTACCCAGGTGATTTTTCTGCAACATAAATCTGCAAAAATCTTTGCAGTAACTTTGCAGATTCTGCAAAGGGTCTCTGCAGATTTGAAGCAGATCTGCATTGCAGATGTGCCAAGATTTGACCAAAGATCTGATGCAGATCTGCAAAAAAATCTTCACAGTTTCTTTGCAGTTCCTTTGCAGGTTTTTTGCAGAGAAACTGCAGATTTTTACGGTTTTTTTTTGTTTGTATATTTGTGTCAAAACATTTGAAATATATGAAATAAATGTATATCCCACAGTCACATAGCACACTGAAAAATCTGCAAAAAACTGCAGTTTTTCTGCAAAGAATCTGTAGAGAAACTGCAAAGAAACTGTAAAGATTTTTTTGCAGATCTGCATCAGATCTTTGGCCAAATCTTGGCACATCTGCATTGCAGAAAAATTGCAGATTGCAGAATCTTTGCAGATTCTGCAAAGATTTTTGCAGATCGAGTTTTTTTGGGAACCTCTCAAATGATGTTAAATAGCTGGCTCTGGCAACCCTATCGGAAACAAATACAATTTTATTCTTGGAAAAAACATCTTTCTATGAATTCTATAAGTTCGAAAAAACCGAGGGGGGGCCGAGCCCTACCACCCAGAATTTTCTGGTTACGCCGCTACAGTAAACTAGCGACATCTGAATTTATTGATCAAGAAATTTTCTTGAAAAATATGAATTTTTTTTTGAAAAAAGTCAAACAAATTATATTTAAAGAATAAAATATAATTTATCTTAATAGTAAAAATCGTGATTGAGAAAGAAGAGAATAAATACCTGACCAATGAGAACAGAATAAATAAATAAATAGCACGAATATTTTGTCATTTTAGAATAAAATCAAATTTGAATCACCAGCTTGCGCGTGAAGCGCGCGTTAGCTGGTGATTAAAAGAACAAAAATGATGTATCATATTCTTCAATAAAAGAAACAAAAAAATGCAAAAGCAAAAAAATAATTTAGTAGAATAGAAAACTTTCTCGAAATCTTTCATGATCAAATAAAGAATTTTTATAAATTATTTCATCGCCTTTTAGTCATTTTCAATTATCACTCCTTTTTAATGATCGGTATTCGTACATTTAACAAATCGTCATCAACATTTCTTATTACGTTTAATTAATAATTGAACAATAATGAATACACAAGAAGAACAATTAATCGATGAAAATACATGTTTACTTAATAAAAAATTACCGAAAGAACTTATTTTAAGGTAAACTAAATAAATATACATTTCTTCTTCTACAGTTACCATCTATGAGAATGTCTTCGAATAAAAATTCTTTCGTTATATTCGTTATATAAGGCCGGTACGTATTAGTTCTGTCCGATTTTAATACATAATTCTTTGCCGGTCTCGATTCTGATAAATATTTTTCAAATTCTCTTCCATATTGTGAGAAAAAGATTCGATTTGAAAATTATAAATTTCAGATGGATCATCTTAATCGAAGAACAAAATCGTATAGAACCAAGTTATATCTAATTTGATAAGATGTATGTAACATAATATACGTATATACCATCGGATTTCGAAATCTTTTTCTAACTATATTCTGTAAATTGCCACTAGATTTCTTATTCTGTTTTTTTACTGATACTGGTCCCAGTATATATATCTTTCAGCGATGGAATCTATCGGATCCAAGTCTAATGCAACATTTGATACACATAATAAATTTAATTGAGCTTGTTTTTTTAAATCACTATTCATTTTATTCAAAAGGGAACCTTTAACTTACTTAAAAAAACTCAAAAGATCTAAATTTGACAGGCTTTATTGAAAATGCAAGTTTGAACGACCCGATGTCTTTCCTCTATCTAGTGGGTCCAGAAGTTTCCGTTTCGAAATCTAATAGATTTCTCAATGAAGATGAAATATATATTAATAAAGACCAATCATTTCTGGATTATCAATCAACTTTGTCGATGTGCACAAGTATCCAAAGTAAAAATAAAGTCTGAAGCTTTTTTACTGAAATATTTCTCTGCTTCTTTTTTGTGTAGCATTGGAATACACTTGCATTAGATGATTCAAATTGGCAAAGTATTTATTTTCAAAATTTTCAATGTGATATTAATGTATGATAAAAATTTCAATTGATATTCTTGCAAATTATTATCCAAATTAGGAAGGATTAATTGTTCAACATTGTGACAAATTATCCAATACGTAAATAAATAACATTGATTTTTCCATTAAATTGAACAAATATTTTTATTTAGTAGTTTACTTTATTCGAGTAAACATTGTACTTATTTGAAATATATTGATATTTCATCATGTATCATCAAATTGATGATCGAGAAATTCAAATGATTAGGTAGAATTTTTTTACTATTTTATTTTAAAGAAATTTTCTTTTTCTTATTTAGTTCAACTCGTTCTAATTTGGAATTTTGGGATATATCATGGTGTACGAATATAACAGAAGGTGAAATTCGAATTCTAGCTGAATCATGTCCGAAATTAACAAGTTTTAAAGCTGAAGGATATACTCAAGTAAGATGAATAAAATAATAACAAAATCGCAATAAGTTTTTTAAATGAATCCTTTAGATGACAAATAATGCAGCTATTGAACTTGGAAAAAATTGTTCAAATTTATTATTGCTTGATTTAAACCGATGTTCTGTAAGAAGAAAAGAAATATTTATTCTTTTATTTTTTTTGGAATTTTAATTTAATCCTTAACTGATGATTGTCTTATTGCTTTAGTTCATTATTGTCCGATGGCGCTACACTACAATCACAATATGACAACAGGTACATACAATTACCGTCCATTTCAGAGTTAAATGGTCATGGGTATATTTTAAATAACTTTTTATAGGAACAGGATAGAGAACTGAGGTTTTCACCGTTGGAAAGAGGAGATAAAGACACATCGGAACATATATTACAGACTTTTCCGGCAAGTTCTATTGAGTGTTTTCAGCCGAAGTCTTTGGAAGCGAATGTGCCGTGCTCAGTCAGCAGAGTGATTTTTCGATTTTTAGGAATGCACCAGAACCGCCAATCGGAGATCTATAAAACTGCGCAAGGTCCAGTTTTCTCACTTGTATCGTTCAGGAGTTATAGGCATTTTACTGTGAGCTTCTACCTAGTTTTTCGAGAAAATTAGGTGAAAGTTTCACTTTTTTGCCTTCTCTTTTTGATAAAAAAAAAACCATTTTTGCGTCTTTTTGCGGTTCGTTTTTTTGAAAAACTGATTGAAAAGACTTTAGAAAACATATTAGAAAAATCTGTAACATAGAAATCGATGCATCTTTATCTCCTCTTTCCAACGATGAAAAGTGAAGTTTTCTATCCTGTTCCTAGAAAAAGTTATTCAAAAAAGTGGCCACGGCCATTTAACTCTGAAGTGGAGAGTAGTTTCGCTTGAAAACAAATAGAAATGAAAAGATATGGTTAAATCAACTTCCTAATTTTAGTTTTAGTTCATCAAAAGAATTTAACATCTTTAAAATAAATATCAATAAAAAAAAAACTTGTATGTATCCTTTCTAAGAATACATCAATCAATGAATGACTTTTCTTGTGAGTAATAAAAAGAATACTAATCAAGCATGATTATATGTGATTTTTGATCGATTCCATATGTCCTTCCATGTTTATGTATCGTATGAATTCATCAATTGATAAGAAAATATTTTCAACTAAATATTCTTAACGATATGAAAAGATAATTCGATTATTGAAAAGAATAAAAATATAAATTTTAAAAGTATTTTTCAATGTTTCGAATGAGAATGATATTCTTTTAGATGATTTTCTTCATACGATTTTCTTCTCGTCGTTTTCTATCAACTATAATCGACTTAGGTCCTCAAATGAAAAAACTCAATGACAATGGTCAATTTGAGAAGGCTCTCACTTTATATGAAGATCAAATTGAAAAACAAAACAAACAAAGTACTAATTTCACTATAGATCAAGTTTTAAAAGCTTGTATTGAACTTGGTGATATTAAACGTGCTAAAGATATTCACAACAAACTTTCCCCTACTATGGCTAACAATTCCTTTATTCAATCTAATCTAATTCGTCTATATAGTAAGTTATTCAATTGAATTATCTCATTCTGATACTTAAATTTTCTATATTAGTGAAATCCGGTGATTATGAAAATAGTAAACAAATCTTTATGAATAGTAACAATAGAACAACGGTGATGTTTAATAACTCAAAGGTTATATATTGTTGTTCTTGTTTAAATGAAAAATATTGTTTATCTAATTTGATTAGGTCTTGTCGATAATAACCGTTGTGAAGAAGCATTGAAGTTTTTTCGAGAAATCAATATTACACCAAGTGAATTTACTTTTAGTATTTTATTTAAAATCTGCACAGAGATCGCCGATCAACGTTCGTTAGAATTTGGAAAATTAATATTTGATCGAATGCCTAAAAAATTTTATAATAATATCGTGATAATAACTTCTGCTTTACAAATGTTTCTAAAATGTGGTGACATTTCCACGGCTGAAGAATTATTTAATCGAATACAGAACAAAAATTTAATTGTTTTTACTGTAATGATGAAAGGTTAGAAGATCTATATTCTATATTAATTTATCATTGGTTTTTCTTTTTTCTTCAAGGTTTTGTTTTAAACAAAATGGAAGAACGAGCTATTGATCTTTTCTTTAAAATTGACAAACCAAACAAAATCATTTTGAGTATATTTTTTAAGGCTTGTGCTCAATTAAAAAGTGAAAAAGCATTAACTTTGGGTAAAAAAGTGTTTAATAAATTAGTCATTGAATCTAATCAATCAAATGTTTTCTTATATTCGGTTTTAAATATGTTTATTCAATGTGATGATCTTAAAAGTGCTGAATCTTTATTTGATCGAATTAATCGAGATATTATTTCTTATGGATCAATGATGAAATTTTCTAATGTTAAAGATCAACCAGAGAAAACTTTAGAATTATTTCAAAGAATGAAAAAAGATAATTTAAATCCAAATGAAATTATTTTTGTGCACACTTTCGGCTATGTTTGAGAAAAAAAAACTGCATTTTGGGCTCTCCGCTAAAGAAATAATAAATTGTTTTCTGAACTAACTTTATTTCCGGAAAGCATCTGGATTGCAATGAGATCGCTGCACTCCGCGACGCTTCTAGCGAACTTAAAATCACATAGAAATGTTCGTATTAATATCTGACGACGTAGGATAAGTTGGTTTGATATTCTAATATTTCCCCAGAATATTCTCGGTTAGACGTGTGACAGAATGGTGAAAGAGTGTGACATGAACAACTCGCCGAGCCTTCTCCAACGCACCTACTTCTGAAATCTGGAAACCTTCTCGAATAAAGATACGAGTCCAAAACTGAGTTTTTTCTACGAGAGCATATTTCAAAAACTCGTACTTTCTGCAAACATTCTCGGTGTGACGTGTGACAGATACAAAAACTACTGTGACATACACAATTGGGCGAGCTCGTTCCAATGGTATGTTTGGTGTCGCTTCAATATTTATACTAATCCCAAAAACATGAAAAATACTGAATGAATGAGTATTATACTTACCATATCAGGAAAACATTCTCGATGTGATGTGTGACAAACTTAAAAACTAGTGTGACGCATAGTACTCAACGAGCTCTTTCGAATGGTATATTATTACTACTTTGTGTACAAGTGTGACGCATGCAACTATTCTATTTTTGTTATTGAAGTTTGAAAATCAGGAAAGGCACTCCGTTGATCGTTCGATGAGTACTTTATTTTATTTGCGAAAAAAGTTCTTTGGATCCTCATTATCGAGCAGATTTATTTTGAAGTGACCTTTCTAACAAAAAGAAAAAATGAAGAAGGAGAAAACCGAAAAGCACAATTCATATATTAATATTTGACAATTAACGAAAAATAATAATATAATAATGAACCTTTAATTATAGTATATTAATTATAGTATATTATTACTACTATGCGCAAGTGTAACGCATACAACTATTCTATTCTAACCATTATCTGTCCGTATAGTGACGGTAAAATGTTGACTCTGATGACACACTGTACCAACAAGCTGATAACTAAACTGTAATAAGATGGTATAAGTCTTATTAACATTAAGATTAATTAAGTCTTATTATCGTATAAGTCACACAATCCATACACATGTCCACCGGTTTTGATCATGAAGTACGCGTTTTTCCCTGATGTGTGAACCTCTTAGTTACACGCAATGGACAACTAGTAAAATTGCCAGCATCTCACAAGCTCGGATTAGCTTTTCAATGTTCTCTTCAAAAACTCGTAATGGACCCATTTCGTTGGCACGTTTACCTGCAATGCAGATATGTCATACTACGGGTCAGATAGTTTCAATGTAGACTTACCCATAGTTATTCTATCAGCACCAGTTACTGGACCAGCAGCAGTATCTTCTTCCAGATTGTGATTTACTGTACCTAATACTCGCAGTTCGAAAATGCTTACTTTTATTAGATGGTTGCAGTAAAGATACGGAGCAACAGACACCACATTTTTTTATCAAGCATGAAGAAGTGAAAAAAAAAAATGGAGCATTCTTTTTATTGGAATTTTCTAACTTCAAGTGGCAGCATCTGAACGTTAACGGACATACGACACCATTATCTAACAATTTATCATAGATAAGTTTTGTCCAGCCGTCTATTAATTTATGATTTTTCTTGTCATACACACGTTTCCATTCATCTTATGTTATGGTGTATACATATACATATCTTTCACAGAAAGGAATGTATGCCATTTAAAAGTCTCAATTCTTATAAAAAGCACTTGTATCGAATGGTAGGTAGTGTTCATTTTAAAACCTACCTCATCGATTAATTTCAACAATAATGAGGATACTTTAATCGAGAAGATAGTAAGAATTTCAAAATTAATGTCACTAACATACTTTTGAATAACATATTTTTCTCCGAAACAGATGTTATATAATAATTTAATGAAAAAGCTTAATAACAATACTTCTGGCGGTTGAAACGGTGTCTCAAATCAGACGCTTCATTTTTTTCCCATTTAAATATTGTATAAGAAAAGCCGGTTTCATTCCAGAAAAACAAATAGGTTTTGGGTCCGGTTGTTCAACATGGTTCAATATCAGTTCGTTTTTATTCGTTTTTATATGGCATAGCAGTCTTCTTGCACGTCTCCTCTGACACGTGAAATTTCGAAAAACGCCTTCTCAAACGGATAGATAAAAAGCACGTTTAAACGACCAAAAACAACCGTTGGTTCTGAAACCTTTAACGCATTTTTCTGTCGCTAAAATAACAAACGCATTTTTTTCTTAATTTTTTTACCTCTGGGAACACTCTGACAGTTTAAACATAATTTATATGTAATGCACTCATATTATCTCATAAACTAATTCTTTTTATGGGAGAACCATCTTTCATTTTTTATTCTGGCTATTTTCAGTTAATGGTCATGTCTGACAGAAAGTTTGAATTGCATGTTTATGTTTTCTGTTACAACTCATACTTAGACGTGGGTTTTCTCATGTGCCATGGCCTGTTACCAAAATAGAAACTAACTAAATAATTTCAACTGAGACACTTTTATTCAATATATCAATTCTTACTCATTCAGTTTTAGTGATCATTAACTGACTTTTTCATCATTAAATTAAAAAAACTTGCTTTTACTTAGAAATATAAAAAAAAATATCTAAGTGGTTGGTTAATCGGAAAATTATTAACGAGCCAATGAGCGACGAGAATAAAGACTTAAAATTTTCTTTGAAATTAGGCGCATTCACTCTGTCTGCTGAAATGTCTACAAAAACAATTATTATTTTTTTATGTAAGCTATGTTCTTTCAGAACACAAGTGGAAAAATATTCCATTATAGTATCTTAAACTAAAACTATCGAAAAACACAGATGACTTTTTTTCGAGTTTTGTCAAAGGTATAGAGGCGTTTTCTTATCTTTTGAATAGCAAATTCAAACGCAGTCTTCTATTTAGGTAAGATCTTAAGATATGTCGATCATTTAATCGACAGGATTAAGAGGGAGTGCATTAGATTTGGTTCAGATTTTGTCAGTTCGTAGAGGACATGTCAAAGTATACATGAAAGAAGTTTCGAGATTTATGGACTTATAGTTTTCTAGAAAAAATAATTGTAATTTTTGTGCCTTTTTTGCCGGTTTTTTAAAATTCAAATAAAATTTTTATTTGCTAGAAATTCAAAGGATGCATCTCAACGTTATTTAAAATAAGCAAAAAAAGTTCTTTGTTGTTTCTGCTGCTCTTGAACAAAATGGATTTTCGTTTTTTTCTTTGATTTTTCATATGTTCGTAAGCCCTTGGGCTGTTGCAAAAGGAGTTAGTTCACATTAGTCTGATAATTACAGTTAAAAACAAAAGTAAGAATACAAATGCATATGAAAAAAGTTACATTTGGGGAAGGGGAAGGTAGAGATGCATTGATTTAAATTAAGAGACTAATCTGTGAGTTACAACAGCAGGGCATATATACTAGTTGCACACCCTACTGTACCACATGAAAAAGAAAAGGTAAATTAAAACAGAGTTATGCACATTTAAATTTTACACAATACAGAGAAAAAATGAACAAGATCGAAAATAACTTCTCTCTGTTACTTTCCTTTTTTATCTGCGACAAAAGCTAGCCATGATATCAGCACGGACTCATGAGTCTTTCTCTGCTTTATGACGCGTTTGGTAGAAAAATAGTATCCTATTTTCAATCACTTAGCCAGGTGATAGTACTCGCAATAAAATACATTTTCTAGGATAGGGAGTTGCACAAACCAGAATCATAGAAATGCAATAATTTCGTTTTAATAATTATTTAAAAGATAATTAAATAATTAATAACACAGTAATCTAACTGCTTCTCGTATAAGTCGAAAAGTTCTTCGGCATCGGCGTAATGACATCTATGCACAAGGCGAAGTCCCACCCTGAACTTCCTATTTAGTAATTCGACGCGGGTGCATGGTAAAAAGGTATGAATTGGAAGGAAAGAGCCACGAGAAAAACTGAAATGAATACGTGAAAAAACTCTGCCGCATTAACTTACTTGAACCCTCATTACAATTTGATAACCACCTTAACTTTACAAAAGATTTTTGAATTTTGTCTACTGCATCGTTTAGAGTGGGTTTTAGAGACAGGTGATCTGATCAACTGAAACCCAGATACTTTAAAGTTATGACTTGCTCTAACTTAAAGCCCGCCATTGACAAGGAAGTAGCGGGTCCCTTAATCTGGGAGTGAAAT